TTTTGCATGCCTTAGCGGTTGGATTGACCACGCGTCGTCGAGAGGACGAAACGGGGGGCAGTGGCGGATCGGCCAAACGGGAGAAATCACACGTTGAAGGGGGGAACAAAAAAAACAATTATCGTCGCTTGTAACACCCGGCAGTGACAACGCAAATATGGCTTCATCTTTCGAAAGACGCTCTGGTGATCGGATAGTGGCAATGCAACAGCTGCCTGCCCCTTCTGACAACCACACTCTGGTACCTCCTCCTTTGCGCGCCACTCTCCACTCACCTCCGTCGCTAGTTCCGCAGCAGTTTGTCCCTTCTCAGCAGCTGTGCCCCCTCCCCCGCCACCGCTACCGCCGGCATGAGACCCTCCAGCCTTGTGCTCCACCCCGCCCGCCTCGGCGTCTAACACCGCTCTCCGCAGCGGCAGAAGCATGAGCTTCAGGTGGGCCACGGAAACGGCGGGCTCGTGGACGGCCACCATCGCCAGGAACCAGCTGAACACCGCCCGCCTCCGTGCCTCTCCTTTGTGCACCACCATGTGGGACATGCGGTTGAACACCCATCTCAACGGGTCGGCGGCACCGGGCGCAGCAGCCGTACCGCCACCGGCAGGAGAAGAATCGGCAGAATCGGCAGCAGCGGCGGCGGCGGCCGCATCTCCGCCGTCATCATCAACACCCTCGCTGTCGCTTGCTTCGTCCATCGCCGGGCTTTCCGTCTCAGAGGCGTTTTCTCCTTGTTCGACGGCGTCCTCGGCGTCCTCGGCGAAGCACAGCTCCGGGTTGAGGTGCATCGCACGGCCGACAAACACCAGGTTCTTGACGCACTGCTCCGTCAGTTTCGGGTCCACCTGTGCATGGTTAGGAGTTGAGAGACGGAAATGAATCAACCGAGAGGATCTTTTCCTGGAAAATTTCTCCTGACAAAAATAGATGCGGGCGTCCTTGTGCAAAATGCAAAAATGAGTTGGGGAATGAGAGATGTAACTGAAGCAACCGAGAGGAATTTCTTCCCCTAACAAACTACTGCTTGCGTCCCTTGCACACATCGACTCTCTTTTGAGAACATGGGAGAGCTTTGAGCATCACGCGAATGGTCCACGCCCGACTAACCCCTCTGAAACGCTCTGGCACGAAGAATCAGCCTCACACGAGATGCTTTCTCTCTCTGCCCCCCCTCCCTCCTTGGTCTCCAATAGTACTTTTGTCACAAGTGTTGATGTAGGTGACCATCATTCCATCAACATCCCGGCACCACCGAACGCACGCACGACCACGGCAAACACACCGGTTGGAGCGGGGGGAGGGGGGGCAGGGCAGCAACATACAGCTTGGCGCACACACACATGCCTACGACACGAAAGCGTTCACGTCCTCCCCCTCACAACATCTACTGCCTCCCTAGGACACGCACCTGCGACCTGTTGAGCTGAGAGCACAGGTTCTGGCACAGGCGGAACAGGACACGTCTCCGTCGAAGAAACTCTTGTCCCCCGTCGCCTACCCCAGCTCCCTCCCCGGGAACATCACACCGCCGCTGGCCTCGGCCTTTCCCTTTCAACTTCCCGGGTGCTGAGCCACCTTGGACTAGCGTCGGTGTCTGGCTTCCCTTTACTTGGCCATCGCCGCCGCTACCGCCACCGCCGCCGCCGACGGTGGATACGGCTAAGGTCCCGGGATCCCTCTTCGAGAATAACGATCCCCAAACGCGGGCGGCCGCGAGGCGCACCCAGGCATGCGGGTACAGCAACGCCTCCAGTAGCCGATCGAACAGCCCATCGCCACCATCGCCACCACCGCCGCCGCTGAGGGCGGCGTTGCACGCCCCCGGGAGGGCGTCGAAAGCCTTCCCTATGGACAGGACGGCGTGGTAAACGCCTTCCCAGTCACCATCCGCTCCGCCGCCACAAGCCCCCGCGGCGGCGCCAACTGAACCACCGGCGTCCCCCCAGCCCGCGCTCCTCGCCGCGGCGATGACTGCGGCCGCTCGACGCGGGAGCATCGAGGATAGCGCCGACAGCATCCAAGGTAACCGACCCCCGCCGCCGGTCCCCGCCGCCTTCCGCACAAGCTCCGGCCTTGCCTGTACGAAAATCCCGCAGGCCTGAGCGGCCGTTCGCAGGAGCCCGGGGTCTTCTTCCCCCCTCCCCGCCCCCGACGGGGCCCCCGTGAACCACTGCCCCGTGAACTCCAAGAGCTCCTGGAACACAGCGGGGGACACGCGGTCAAGAAGGGTCCGGATGGCGGTGGAAGCGGCGGCGCGGCACTCCGCCGCTTGGTCGCTGACCAGGCGAACCACCAGGGCGAGGTAGAAGACGCTGGAGAGCTGGTCGAGGTTGGGCTCCGGGAGCCGTCGGAGGAGCTGGGAGCACAGGTTGATGGCCGCGAGGCGCCCCTCGGCGTGCTCGTAGGAGACCCCGCTGATGATCTGATAGGTCGGGACGAATTGGAGCAGGGATAGGGGGGCGTACTCATGCTTTGGATGCCATTGGCCACGCGTCCTCGGGAACCGGAGCATTGTTCCTGCAGGACCCGTCACCGATGGCCAATCGTTCCTTGCTACTTTGCCAAAGGAGGCTAGAGCAAATGTGTTTTCCCTATCCTACCTAACAGTAGGAACTATACTCTTGAGCGCGCGGGCGGGGAGGTTGAGAGGGCAAAGAGAGGGAGAGAACGTTGTGCAAGCAACTGGGAAGGAAAAGGGGCGACAGCAAGGCGATGACCATCGTCTTCCTGGGGTATGTCAAAAGCTGTCACATGAAGGGCAAGCACTTCAGAGCAAGGTATGCAAAGTAGCTCGAAGAAGATACGTCACTCAAACAGCCGTAGAAGCTTCACCCTCGGCGCTAAATAGTAAGCCACGCGCGCGTGCGTTACATACCGAGACATCTTCCTCGAAGCGGAAAAACTCAAACATCTACACGTTTGTTGTCTCTCGACCTGATCGCTCCGTTCTCTAGCACCCCACACAAAATTCTCAACATTTTCGGAAGACAGCAGTAGAGGCACGGCAAACAGCACCCATGTCTCCTCCAACCCCCCCCCTCCCCCCNCCTTTTTCGATTTATTTTTTTTGAGTCACGATATGGCGATCTATTGCCCTTCTGGCTTACAGCTAGAACGGGGATGTCGTCCTCGTGGTGACGTGATCGTGGTGTTAATGTCGTGCTGAAGGAAGGCACCTTGTGTGGATGTGTCCATGTGTTGTTTTCCTCTCTTCCATCCTTTCGTTGGTCCACTGCCCTATTGCGAGAACGTCCGAGGTGTTGAGATTGGTGAAGACGGATGGTCGAGCGCCAGCTGCCCTTACTCGTTTTCAATTGTGTTCCCTTCGTGTCGGTGTATTTTCCTCGGTGTATTCTCACCCACTCGCGCTCGAAGATGATTTCTTTTCCACGCCACGGCGGCCAACGAGGCACCCTGTCGTCGTGTTCTCTGCCGCGTCGGGTTCAACTGTTCGTGTTTTTGTCCTTGCCCGCCCTGATTTATGTAATGATTGCGTATTTTTCATCCACGGTACCTGTTGATTCGGCTGTTCACTGTGGGATTGGTGTTGATCGATGATGACGTGACGACGCCAAGCGGACGGGCCGCTCCAGCGTTATTCAATTGCTTGTCTTTCCAACAGAGTTTCCATTCGGATCCCTAGGTGCCCCCCCCCACACACACACACACACACGCAAAGTCAACCAATCATCGACGGACCTGGTTGAGGTGAAATTGCAGCCGTTTCTCCCCCAGGGGGTAGTGCAGGAGGAAGGTCAGGAAGGTCTGGCCGGAGGTGGCGCGCAGCGTCGGTCGGTGGCTCGTGACCGCTAGCTCGGCGAGCTTGGTCATCAGGTCGTAGACCTGCCGTGCGTCAGACACAGCAGCATTAGTGCGGGCCCACACAGTTGCGAAAACATGTACCAGACCCGCACGGCTCAACCGTCCGCAGGACGGAGCAAAACACGTTTGCTTTGACCGTACAACGTTCAGCAGGACGCAGAAAAACAGGCTTACTTTGGCCGCACATACATACCTCCGGTTGCATATGATGCACGCCGGACGGATTCCAAAGCCAGCTTACGCTTTAGCAGAAACAGCAGCGACGGTGCCGCCAAAAGTGGCGGAGTCGGAACCGTCTCGTCCAGACCTTTCCCACAACACATCACTCGGTTGTGCCACGCCCCACCCTCTATTTTCGTCGTGGACGAATCGGGCCTTGAAAATCGGTACAAAGGGATGTCATATCTTACGTCACCTACATCAGCTCGACTGCTGCGTATCACACGATGAGACGCCTCACGCAACTCCTACACGGACCGCGGGCAGCATGGCTCTCTGGGCAACGACTCGTGCTTTGAAAATCGGTTCAACGGGGTGCGGTAGCTTACGCAACCTACGGTAGACGGCTCGAACTTCTATCGTGATGGATGTGGTGCCAAATGACGAGATTGGGGGCTTTTCTCTGCCGTGTCCGCGCGGTCCTGTGTTCGGCATGACCGCCGACCCTACTTTCTTCCAGCTGTATCGACGTGCCTCAGAAGAGAATAACACTGACACGGACCTCGGGCAGCATGACTCTCCGGGCCACGACGGCCTTGATCAGCCCGAAGGTGGCGTTCTGGTGCTCCGTCTCCGCCACCGCCATCTGCAACACCACCAGGAGGGCCCTCAGTTGCTTCGGCGACAGGCCGAACAGCCCTCCCCCCCTCCCCTTCCGCCGCCCGGCGTCCTCACCAGGGATCCCAAACACCTGCACCTGGCTCTTGAACAGCATCGACAGAGCCTTGAAGCACGCCTGGCCCATCTCTCCTCTGATGCCGCCGACCCCTCCCCTCACGAGGCGGGCAAGCACGTGCCGCCCCACGAGGGGAGCGCAACGCTTCATCGACGGCAGGTCCCAGTGGAGCAGGTAGCCCAGGCTCTTTAGGGAGAGGAGGACCACCGGGGTGTGCGGGTTCTTACCGATGCACCTAGAGTTTTTTCCATGCACGCGCGGGCGGGGGGGGCAGGGGTGCAGGAGGGGCATACTCATGTTTTGCGTGTGTTAGCGGTTAGACCATTCACCACGCGTCCTCGAGATGGGTGAGCGAGCTCATAGCGATGCACATGGATTGTGTGTTTTTTGTGTGCACGCGGGCGGGTATGTGCAGGCGGGCGGGCGATGAGGAGGGGAGGGGGTCAGGTCAGCAGCGGCGCAACAAAAGCGAGGGGGCGGGGCGGTTGACGGGGATTTCGGCCCTCCGTGGGAGCTCACAGCCCCTTGCCCCCCAAAACAAGGGAAATGCAAGTTCGAACTACCGTACGGCACGTACGCATACATACGCCCGGGCTTGCTTGAGCGCTATCTACAACGTATTCCATTATCAAAATCTAATACTCGGTACCCCTTGTAGAAAGTACCCCATACCGGACCTCGTTAGCAGCGGGACGAACGGGTCCGCCATGGCCCGCACCGCCTCCGCTCTCCTATTTATCGCCGCCGCCCGTCTGCCGGCTCCCCTTGCCGTCGCCTCCGCCTTCAGCCTCGAGTGCAGCAGCCCCATCGCCAGCGTCACCGCCCCGAGCGCCGCGGGGTCGCCCAGGTCCACGCCCCTCACCCGCGACGATGACGGTGATGATGCGGCGGAACCCCCCACGGTCGGACGCTGGCGGCCGGCGGCGCGGCCGTCGTGACGGTCACGCCCGGTGTGCTTGGGAGCGCTAGCGCCGTCCAAGACTTGTACGGACTCCCACTCTCGCCGACGCTTCTCGCCAGCGGCAGCGAGGCGGGAGTGGCCCTTCAGGTTACCCTCGGAGACCATCCACTTTTATTATTATTGTTTGTTCGGTGAGGGGAGACGGGAAGGGAAGGAAGTAGGTGAGATTGGGAGGGGAGGAACGTTTTTCCATGACCAGGCGAGTGAGGGAGGGGGTGGACATTGGGGGCGGGGGTTGAACTACGGGCCGTTTGTTGAGAATACATGCTTCAGCGTTTTTTGGTTCAAGTACATTTTTTTTTTTTCCTTGCGCACTACCCTGCATGGGCTAGCGGCTGACAAAAAAACTGGCCTGGCCGTATTTGACCCCTTCCAGAGGGGGGAGGATGGGGGCACTCAACCCAAAACAAGGCAAAAAAAAACAAGAATTATCCCGAACCCGAAACCTATCCCCTCGCTCCTCAACGATGCATGTCGCGTCCCCCTATACAAAAAACAGTATAGTAGTGACCTCACACTAGAACCAATACACTTGGGGGTTCCACACTACTCAGACCCAATCTGCAAGCATAAGAACGTTTCCCAAAATGGGGTGTTTCGGACCGTATGTTTGTAACCAGGCGCATTGTTTTTTTCCTTATTTTTTTCATTAGCATCGTCTACGCACCAGCTTTCCAACGAATCCAACGGAGTATAAGGTTTGGATCAACCTCTGAGTACACGAAAGGCTTGTCACCCAAACCGGACTAGATTCATAGGACAGAGGAAGTATATGCATAGGTGAGGACATATTCACCAGTTCCAGGGGAGTTGTGGGCGCTCCGATTTCAAAGCGAGGTTGAGGAGGGCTCATCAACACTGACTGCTATGATTGTACCAAGACTTAGCAGTATTCATCAACACTGACTGCTGTGACTGACTGCTGTGACACAAACAGCTAGGAGGTTTCAACAAACTGCCTCCTGTTTATACCAAGCCAAAAATCGAGGCGAAGGATCAAACAAAACAATCGCCGAGCGGGACAATCACACAATTTCGGGTGAAAGAGCGGGGGTACGGCAGAAATGAAATGTACCCACACACCTGCCGGGCGGAGGACGACGCCCCGCCGCCAGTGGAGCCCCCTTTGGCCTTCTTTCTCGCGGCGGTCGGCCCCTCCGCACCACTGTCGCTGTCGCTGCTGTCTTCGCTGTCTCCCTCTTCCACCTCGTCGTCGTCCTCCTCCAACGTCTGTCTCCAAAGGTTCCCCGAAACAAAACAGAAGATTGGCAAACGGCGGGACACAAGGGCGGGCGGGCGGGGGGGGGGNGGGGGGGGGGCACAGCAAGGATGAAATCGAAACAAGCTTGACAAAGCTAGAAATGATAAAACAATCACAAGGCAGCAGCAGGAGGTTATAATTATTACGAACACGTCCCGCTACAAGGATATCTGGTATGTGGTTGAGGACATTTCCTCGCTTCAATGGGCATTGTTGTTATCAGAAATCAAGCGACGAGTGTCCTTCAAGCGGGTACGAGTGTTTACAGGTGTACCAAGGGCAACGGTGGTGATGGAGAGAAGCATATGCTCGGGACGTCATGGGTGATGACGTCACTAGAGTAATGACGTCTCTAGGGGCATGGCGTCGCTAGGGTGATGACATCACTAAGGTGGTGATGACGTCACTAGGTGGTGACGCCACTAGGGTGTTGACGATCATGGATGATGACGTCACTGGAGTAATTACGTCTCTAGGGTGATGACGTCACTAGAGTAATGACGTCTCTAGGGTGATGAGATCACCTGGGGGAGAAGGAACGGCGCCACGGTCGCGTGAACGTAGAGGAGCATCTCCGACTCCGTCACGCTGGGGTTAGCCGCCAGGCCCATCCCGATCCTCGTGAGGGCCTCGTTCGCCTTACCCACCGACCTGAAACGAAGACGCCCGAAACCGCAAGCATAAGCAGGCAGTGAGCGATCGGTCAAGAATTGGGTGATGGATGCACGCCGCAGACAACGAAGCGGTTTCATTGTTACAAAGACTTTACAACCAGGCACCCTGACTCTTCCCGTTGGCACTGACGCCACTGAGTCTTTTCATTGGTCAGTCGGTTAGCGCGGTCGATACTAACAATCAAACACACACACCTTGCGTTCTCGCACCCCTCCAGGAGGGCAAGCACGGGGCCCACCAGGGCGTGCACCGACGATACCGAAGCCGCGTTTTCCGGCGCTAGCACGGTGAAGGTCGGTCGAAAGAGCAAGGTCCTCGCCGCGATCTCGAACGAGTCGTAGGCCTTCTGCCCCTTAGCCTCCTTCATCTTGGACGAGGCAACGTTTGCTCCTTGGGCCTACAGGGGAGAGTTCCAAGGCGATCATTGCGGATGTAGTGTGGGGGGGGTGGGGGAAGGGGTCATTTAATTAATCAGCTTCCACAAGAGAAAAAATGCCCTTTGGGCTGCCATCGGACGAAACGTTCACGAGAACAAACTCAAACCGTCGTGCAGGTTACGTGCACTGTACAAGGACGTTCTCTACAAAGTTCACATGAATACCTTCATTCATAGGTGTATTTGGTCCGGCTGGCGGTAGTGCTTTCCCAGCGTAGAGGCTTGGGACACATAATTCTCACAAAGACCAATGTCCAACAAGTTTCCTCAACACTCGCTGCAAAGACTTTATCCCATCCCTTCGATTTATCTCAAACGGCCATGTATTCATTTTTTTAACTGCATGCTTCTTAAACGAGAGCACCGCTCCCTTGTCATTAGCGATGACGTCATCACTGCTACTACGAAAAAGTGAGAGGGCGGTAACACGACATCAACCAAAAACGACCATGGGGCACCATCGCAGCAGATAACGCTCCTGCGCCCCCCCTGCTATCAGCGAAACACGAGCTCATATGCATACTTTTCTTTTAAAAGTTGTCCCGCAAAACGTGAACGGACGCTTGTTGTTGGCTTGGACCGTAAGCGCTAACCTCCTTAGCGGCGGCCGACTCCCCGAAGAGGTCTTCCATTAGCAGCTCCACCACCTCCGGAATACACGCGTCGAAGGAAGGCTTTACCAGCGAAGACGGCACGGCTGGAACCACCAACGCCGCCGCTGAACTCTCCTCGCCGTCTACATCCATCACCGCTGCGTCTGCCGCATCGGTGGTGGCACTAGCAGAAGCGGGTTCGGCGGGTTTGGTATTGCGGACGTCTACCGAGGGGGGGTTGGGTGGCTTGTAGGAGTCGGCCACGGTCTTGAGGACCGTGTGGAGGGTGAAGGTTCGTACGTGGAGCTGGTAGCCGGTCACTAGGCACGTCCTCAGCTCCGTGATCACCTTCGGAGTAATGGATAGGAGAGAGAGAGAGAGAGAGAGAGAGGGGGGGGGG